TGTGTGTGTGTGTGTGTGTGTGTGTGTGTATATATATATATATTTTTTTTATAGAAAACATTTATTTTAAGTTGTAATAATATTTCACAATATTATATATATATATTCACATTTTAGCTCAGTGGTGTATTGATAATTGAGTAGCCAGTTGTTTTTGTTATTCAAGTCACATGAAGTTTCAACATTTTCAGGTGTGAACGTGGTCTTTCTGATACATTATAGACCATCTTTCATCTTTTTTTGGTTGTGGTGTTTTGTCTGAGTGAGCTCTGTGCTCTGATTTACATTACTCTCACTGTTCAACACCTTCACGCTTTACCAACCACCACTCCTTCCAAACCCCTTCCGTGCTCCGGGGCTGTGTGCATGTTATAAGGTTTAAGAGTGTTGATTGTTAATATTTTGATGGTTTATTAGACCGTGTGTGTACTTTTGTGTGCCTTCAGGAAAGTTTCTTTTTCTGCTGTAGCCTGCATGTGTCTTTGAAAGTTGAAATGCAGTTCACTGAGTCTTAAGTTAATTTGTGTACACAATTATCTTTGTTCATTTACATCTGTATTCTTTGGCTTTATTTGTAGTGCATATTCGTTTGATGTTCAAAGGAAAGAGATTGACTCTTTTAGGATTATGTGAGCGTTTTATTTCTGGTCCAGGTATGATCCTATGAGAAATGGCCATTTAAGAACAAAACAAAACACTTCTCCCCTATTCCCTAATATCATTGCATATCTGTTTATGTGGCTAAAAACATAAAGCAAAAGTTTCGGAGCAGAACAGGGGGTGACCAGATTTCATGAACTTCTCTTGAGTGAATTCAAAATAGAGTGGAAGTGAAAGCAGGTTGGATTTTGTGATATTGTTTTGAATATTAAAGGATTCGGTTGAGCAGTATTAGATGTTTTTGGGATGTATGTGTGCAAGATGCATGTGATATCAAATCACTGGTGTGGCACATGGTATTAAAGTATGGTTTGTGGTAGCCTGCATTCATTAAACAGGCTAGAAAGAAAATAGTAATACCTTAGCCCTTAAGTCATGTTTAGCTACTCTGCAAAAATAGATCTGAGGTACAAAACCATGCCAGTGATGTTTATTGTTGTTCTAAAGTTCAAGCTTTACATACAAGTGCAGAAAGTACTATTACACTGGTCTTGTTAAAACACTTGAAATGGAGGCCAGAAAAAAACAACAACTGTATTTTCTTTTCATGGTATTGTTTGAAGTACCATATAAATACCATGGTTTCTAAATATGTTACCATAATATATAAAAATAAAATATTAATAATTCTAATAATTTGAACAAAATTAGACCCGTTTCTCTCTTAGAATGCTTGTTTAGTTTTTTCTTTATTGTAAAGAAATGGAGTAAAAAGTAAAAGTAAAAAATGCAGTGATTGATTAGTTTGAGAATACATTCAGCTACCAGTGAGAATGTAGTACTCTCAGCTCTGTTAAACATACATCACCATATCTGAATCTATCCAAAGGATTTTTGTTTTTTCCCCTGCAATCAGCAAAGAAGAATGTGACAAAAGTGTGTGAATTCAGTGCGGTTCTAGCCATAATGCATGCAGAGGCCCGATTCAGCTGAAAACTTGATTTCTTGCTCTGACCATCTCTGTCTTGTGTCTGTGAATGCCACTATTGGTGGTGTGTGTCCCCTGTGTTCCAGCGTTCTCAGATTTGAGAGTGTGAATGTGGGGTACAGAAGTGGGCGAGAGTCTTTGTGAGACTGGAGGCAGCACAGATGTCCAATTTGCACTTCAGCCAGGCCTGAATGAGCTGCTGGACCACAGGTTTACCTGTGAGAGAGAGAGAGAGAGAGAGAGAGACTCAGGCAAAAGCATCTTTGCCCATAAGGTTTGATGATTATTATTAACATGACTTGTATTGCCAAAAAATATGTTTAGTAAAAAATTTATTAAAAATGTAATATTAATTAAATTAAATTAAATTGAATGACAAATTATTATCCATTTAAAATTCATATATTCTGCAGTTGCGTGGTAAAGTGTGGCAAATGTGTAAGGGTAAACTGTGTCAGGGACTTACCTAATAGCTATAGTGAGTTTTATATCCAAATCCAGAAAGTAATATTACATTGGTCTTGTTGAAAAATATGAAACGGAGGCCAGATTTCTTCAAATAATGCAAGGAAGCTTTGGCAAAGAGAAACCCACCTTTCAAAGAAAACGATCAAGGATTTTCCCCACAAAATAACGTATTGAAGTAGTTGCCTTGCAAAAAAGTTGGTGAAGTACAAGGAGTAACATTTCATATTTCCCTGCAACCTTGATGGTTGAAGTTTGGCATAATAATGTCTTAGTTTATTCAGTCCAATAGTTTATTTTATTTTTGCATTTCCTATCAAGGAAATATAGGAGACATTAGGCATAGCATGAATTATAATTAGGCAGGGAATTAGGCAAGGGATAGTTCATCCAAAAAAGAAATTTCTGTCATCATTCTCAGCCTCATGTTTTTTTTTTTTTTTCTCTGGAGCACAAAAAGAAGATATTTTGGGACGTTGCAGTCCGAACAGCATTGGACCTCATTGCCTTTTGAATGAAATATGTTAATAGCAATGTATAATCCTTAAAATTCATATTGTTTATTATGCATCTTGGATTCACTCATTCATTGGTCAATCATCTAATTAGGTGTAGAAATGATTTAAGAATTGGTTCCAAACACTCTCTCTGAACATGCAATACCTGTGTATTGCAGCTTGGTTTCAAATGCTCTACTGCAGTTCTCCAGCATCTTTGAATGCAATCTGCACACACAACCGAAACTCAGGGTCATTCACTATCACTTCATCATCTATTTGTATTGGCCAACTTCTCTGCTGTTCTCCTTCTCTCTCTTCATATCACAGTGGGATCATCATTAGGGGGTGTGCAGACACACACATGCAGTGAGATCATTGGCTGGTTTGCATCACTGAACACTGGCAAGTGGTTTGCCTTCGAGGGGTGTGTGTCTGTATCACCATGTTAGCTGGGGAGGAGGGGGATGGCATGGGGGGCTTCAGATGCTCTGCACGCATATAATTAGTTTTTTTTTTCTTTTAAAATTGTACACAAGCATTTCTTAATGTGTGTCTTTCCTATCATAGTGTCAGGTGTCTGTTGCCTTTTGTGAATGTGTGTCTCTCCCTCAATATATGCAATTGTTTTGTTTTGTGTATTTACCTGGCTATTTTGCTGACCTCCCTGCCAGTACAATGCTGTTTATGCATTCATACTTTGTGTCTGACGGCGTGTGAGTTTGTGTGTGGGTGGCAGGTACTGTGTGGGTCCATGTTGGTATGTACGCAGTGGGCGGATGGTCATGAACGTTACCTTATACACACACACACACACACGGAGAGAGTGTGTGTGGAGGGCTGTAAGGGAATGTTCTCAGTGCTAGGTGACACAGTGTGGGCTCGACTCCAGATGGGAGAGCATTAAGCTGTTAATAAATGAGGATCTTTCTCTGCATCTGTGGAATGACAGACATACAGTATTCTAATGAAGAAGGGCTGCCCAGATGGCTTGATTTCATAGAAAATTTTGTTTTATACTGATTGGCTTTCATTTTATGCTGATTGGCTTTATACTGTGAGAGTGTGAGAGAAACATTGACTCAGAAGGAGTTTTATTGATTTATTATTATTATTATAATTTTTTTTTTAATTTAATTGAAAGGACAGTGACATACCAGGAGTTTAATAGGATTGGGAAGGGATGCAGGCTGGACTTAAACTTAACCTTTGGTGCATAACTTGTACTGCAACATTTGAGCTAAAAATGAGTGAAAGTCATGTTACTGTAAATGTTACATCTGTTTCATTATGTGAGGAAACACAAATACACTTTATGTCGTGTACATAGACACACACACACACACACACACACACACACACACACACTGCACAGGGACATTGCTGCTTTAGGGTGACTGCAGGCCCACGCAACAGCACCAGTCATGCTTGTTTTGTTTTTATGTTAAGAACAACTACATACACACACACACACACACACACACACACACACACACACACTGCACAGGGACATTGCTGCTTTAGGGTGACTGCAGGCCCACGCAACAGCACCAGTCATGCTTGTTTTGTTTTTATGTTAAGAACAACTTTCCTATCAAAGTAAAGCAAAATGGCTGCTGTTGATTTAGGAACCGGTGCTTCCTCAAAGGTCGACGTATTTGATGTTCCTCCACCAGCTGCAAGAGATAAAACCTGAATTTGTGTTTATAGAGACAACATGAAATCAATATTGTTATTCTAACTAAAACTATTACAAATTGTTTTCATTGATTGAAATAAAGCTGAAATAAAATAAAATATCAGTATTGGATGAAAAACTTAGAAATATTGACCTTGACAACTAACTGAAGTAAAATAAGTTGAAGCACTAAAATTACTAATACTTAAAAAGAAATTCAAGCTTTATAATTTCACCTTTAAAAACTAATAAAAATGACAAAAGCACATAAAATTTGACTTTCCTGCAGTGTATTTCATGGGTCTTACTGGTTTATTCTTAAAGAATATTATTCTCAAGTAAAGCA